GAAAAAAATTCTTATCTCCTTGATCTAAAGCATAGATCTTAGATTACCACAGTCATATAAACTCTGTACCTCACTGACTCTGTATTGCATGAACTGGAGTCACTGTCCCTGGAGGCGTTTGAATGAAAGACTGGATGTGGCACTCAGTACCATGGTCTGGTTGACATGGTGGTGTTTGCTCACAGGTTGGACTTGATAATCTCAGAGATCTTTTCCAACCTAATTGAGTCTGTGGTTCTGTGATTTTTGCAATATTGTTGGTGAAGGAACAGAAACATTTCCAGGGCAAAATACAAAAAACTACTTAACAAAATGTGAATTCATAGAATAAATACTTTGAATAAAATGTGTATTTAAATGAAGTTGAAGTTAACATTTCTGATTACTTCCATATTACCCAGTAATCTTATTCCTAAAATATAAATAATTTGGATTTTCGCAGTTTGGTAAAGTTGTTTGTGAATACATTTGACAGAAAAATTATGATGGCAAATGACAGACTAAGCAGACACTGGAAAACTGCTGAAGTGATGTGTAGTGTTTTGTGTTCCTTCAAATACACACTTCTTCAATTAAGTAATCATTAACACTAATTTTAGAACTTGAAGAAAAGTATCTTAGTACTTGAAACGTCTTATAAACCTTGATATCTGTAGATGACTAAGAGATTTTGTTTGGAGGTGCTTTTTTCTATTTTGTTTTTCACTTCAACATTTTTAGGTTTTCTTATTTTTTTTAAATGAAAAATTTGCCAAGTCTGTGTGATGAAAGGAAGTTTGTTTGAAGGAAAGATCATTTAAAACATGTACATGCCTGCAGAGCACAGTTGCTGTGAAGCTGGTTCTTAAAATGACCTTGCAACAGAAGATGACTGTGTTCCAGTGGTTTTTATTGTGGTCCTCTGCCAACTTCATCCCAAATGCTAGATATGGTTGTGATTCAGAAAGATATGGAAATGCAGCTGACAAAACAGATGATGAAGATCAATTAGCTAAGGGAGGAGAAGAGGAAAGCAGCTGTCACTTGCAGATAATTTTACAGAAATGAGCAAGCAAATCTTACTTAAACTTGTGAAGGTCCACTGATGTAAATGGCAATATTTTTCCTGCGTTAAATCAGACCCTATGAGATGTTATCTTCTAGTCTGGTGAAGTGCTGAGTTGAGAAACACGGCTTGCACTTTTGAAGAATAGCAATTTCATATATTAGCACCACAGTTTTATTTCATATTTTTAAAGTACATTTTTTCTCCTGGCATTTGAGGGCTGTTCAGTGGAAGGCTCTCATGCAACCTTGTTTCTAGTAGATGAAATAAAACGTCAATATATGCTATATGGAGTGTGCAACGTGATTCTCTGTTCTAGGTCCCTAGCAACATAGGCAAAAAGTTGCAGTTTTAGCTTTAGGCACAGCTGACATCATCTCTGCATTATTGTGTCTCTTGTATGTGCACAGTGTGATCTAGAAAGCAGGGTATAATGGAGACAATCCCACTGCAAGGCTGATGGCAATAGCTGTGCACAAAAGAATGGTATATGCTATGTACAGCAGAGATACATTTCCTATCTCTCTATCGTACTTCTCAACAGGTTCAAACAATTTCCAAATGATGAGTTTTGTTAGTATAGAATTAAGGTAGGATTTTAAATTGTTTTTTAAAGGCCTCACAATAACCTGGCAAATTTTAGAGATGAAGCTGAAAAACAAACTAGTACCTATGTGAAGAGGAGAAATTGCTGTGATGGGCCAGACTATTTAAATTAAGTTCAAAGCCCTAGTACTGGTGTGGGCATGTAAGAGAAGCTTCAGAGAAAAAGAAACTGAATTGGTTATGGTTAGCTGGGGCACAGCTAGTTGTCTGTTTTTGTTTCAGGAAATATGAAAACCTTAAGATGCAGGGAGTAGGAAAACCTTAACCTTAATCCAAACATCTTACCTCTTTGCATTAATTTAGGACTCTAATGAAAGATGCATATTTCCTGTATAAAACATTCAGGTCACTTTCTAAGATCTCCGTAAGAAAGCACCCTCATTTCTGAGGCTGTCACTTTCCAGTTTAATGGTTTACATACACAGAGCTTTCTCCACAAGGACAGAAAGTCTGTGCTGTGCAGGTGTGTGATGTTGCAGACAGCTTGCTGGCATGGCCAAGTGTCTGTGATAGAAGCTGAGCCCTCCTTTACTGTCCTACTCACTTGTGCAGTGACTTAAAGTACCTTTCTATCTATCTCCACAGGTCCAGAAGACGGACTTGGTTCAGAATTTTTTCCATTGCCCAACAGAAAATGGTAAGGGAGCAGCTTGCTTTTCTGAAGCCAGAAAAGCCACAAGGTGAGCAGCCTCCCACTCTCCCCCTCTCCTAAGTCACAGAGGTCAGTGTAGCAATAGCTCAGATATGGCTTTGTGCGCCCATAACCTACCAGAATGGATCCCCTGGAGTTGAGACTTCTGTATTTACTGATCTTTTCTGCTTACAATCTGTTCTTAAGCTGCTGCAGCAGCCAATGCCATGATGTCAGGACACTTAGGCTTATGTGAGCTGGCATTCAGCTTGGCAAGTCAGGTTCAACTATCACTGAACTGCAGCTGGCAATTCAACATTCACAGTCTGGCCATGAATCTTCATAAATATGCAATTATGTTCCAGCCTCTGTTTGAAATTACAGAAACTACACCAAGTCACTGCATCTAAACACGAGGTCATGGATTTCTAATTCTGAGCTGTTTTTAAAAAGAAACAGAACTCTTGCCCTTTGTTGAAGATCAGGTCTCAAATGTATTTATCCACAGCAATTCTGTGTTCAAACATACATTTTATAAACAAAATACTTTTATTAGACTAGTACATGGGTTATTTTAAATCAAGGATTAGAATACAGTTGGTATTAAACTTATTGTGATATTATTATTGGTATTAAATTGATATTATTATTGATATTAAAGTTATTATGATTGTTTCATTTCGTTTCACCAAAGTCAAAGTCACCATAGATTAACCTCAGGAGATAATATTTATCTGGAAAAGAAAGGTTTTTAAAAATACAGATGGAATTCCTTTTTCTTCTTTTTATTTTGCTTGTTTTGGCAATATAGTTTAAACTAGATAATTTAGTTAATAGAGCATAACACCAAGCAAAAACAGAACTTAATGGGAACTGTTAATAGACTGTTTAATTGATTTGTTCCTGCTTCTGATGTGAAAATTATCCCATCACTACATTTATGTTTCAAATTTACTAGATGCAATTATTTTTCATTATCCTTTCTGCAAGATCTCCATCCAAGGAAAAGATCTTGAGTATTTAGAGATACTCCAGATACCTAATCCAGCTTATTGGGTAACTGCTTCAAAGAATGGCCCTAGATAGAGAAAAGTCTTCTACTGCTTCTTCTTGAGTTGCAGAAGCATCATAACAGCGTTTCCATCTCTGGACACCAGTAGCCACACCCAGCCTGGTACAGTACTCAGAAATGGAAAAAATATACTCAGGTGTGGCCTCTACAGACTACACTGTCACCTGAGTGTGCAGTTACTGTGTTTTTTCAGAGTCAGAGATAAAAAGAAATGATTGGCCATGTGCAAAACAAAGAGCAGTCTCTTCTAAAACAAGAGACCTTTTCTACAATAAGCACGTTCAGCATGCCACTTCAGAATGATGAAGTGGCAAGAGAATATGAGTTTCAACTTAGATTAAAAAATGGTAACCTGTTATATAACCTAATATATATATAATATGTGTGTATATATATATATCCTTCAAGCCCACAGACTTGTGAATTATTACTATTTGTTATTTTTAATATCAGCTGTATCAGAAACCTCATTCTGACCTAAGTTCGACTATCCTGTTGTGCAAACAGGGCAGCGTCAGTTACCCTGCAGCTCCTTTGGGAAGCTGTTGGAAGCAAAGTTGTTGCTTTTGTATCAGATGGTACGGTTAGATTACTTCAGGGATACCTCTAATCTTTTGGATACATTTCTATTTTTACAAAGTATCCCTGACTCAAGGCTCAATGATCTTTATTATCTGTGTCTCAAATCATTGGTTATAAGAAATGTTATTAGCAATGCTTTGCTCATCAGCCAAACCAGTGACTGTTTCCACACTCTTCAAATGCAAACCAAAATCTTAACTTAGGCCTCTTCCTTCAGAAGGTGTGACAAGTCAGTCCCACTGGCTCATGTTACTATACTACTGTAATTGGATTGTTTTCAGTATACGCCCATTTCTTCACAGGAACAGGTGGAGTCTGTCTCTATACTCTTCCTTGACCTGATGTCTAAACAGTCTTGGCCAGGTAAGACAAGGAATGTGGACTGCTTTACCTTTTCTAATGGACAATAGGGAAAAGGGTTCCAAATTTAACGAGTATTTCTCCTCTTTTTTTCACCTTCCTCAGTGTAGGAGCAACAGATTTTGATCCAACCTATACTCCTTGTCAAATAATTTAACCCAGACCAGTAACAGCCTCCTCTAAACTGACTCTGTCATCCTATGCAAAACTTAACTGCATTAACTTAGTTCCTTTGTTTAATTTGACATGAATTGTTTCCTGTATATAGAATTTCTTCTACACACCTACTTCATAGTAGGTTTCTGTACTTCTTATTGCTGCCCATATGCAAGATACTCTTCTGCCAGTAGCCTAATACCCCTGTTCTCAAAAGATCTGCATGGAATTATTCAAAAATACAAAATTTGATTTTTCACATATGGTCTGATACTCATCCCGGAGAATATATAGCAAACAGGGTTGAAAACCACAGACTTGCCAACACGTGTTTATATTTCCAGTTAATATGAGAATGCTTCCTCATTATGTAATAAGAATATGAGGCACAGAAAAAAAATAAATTAATGTAGTGATTTGGGAAAGAGAAACCTTACTGTTTTAGAGAGTCATCTCCTACACGTAGTGGAAATATCACATATACCTTATAAAATTGTATACAGTACTGTAATACATATGACATAATTTTCCAGTTTCCTGGAAGAGAATGAGAGCCATTTACAACTAGCTTGTATTTTCTCCAGAATAAATCACATAAATTACACGTGTAAACTGGAGTAAGGAGGGATTATATAGCAGTGCCATTAAAACAGTCAAAAAAGCCACTGATCCTACAGCTGAATCAGAGTAGTCATACACCTGAGCAAAACCAAGAACAGTTTCTCCAAAAAATCTCATCAAAATTCACTGATAAAATCAGACAGAACAATGACAGTAGGTTCTGAAGAGTCTGACAGTACAGTAACACCATTGAAAAGATCCCTGTTTTATCCATTTAAAAAAAAATCATAATCTGAATTACAAGTATACTGCATATCTGCGTAAGCACCAAGATAATATGAAGTAAAAGCTTATTCATCAAGTCCCTCTGATAAATGGTCCCCGATAAAAAAGCAAATTTTTGATGTACATTTAAGTACTTTTGGCAAGAGATACAGGTTCCATAAAAGAAAAGTCACTGCAAAGTCTGAAAAAAAAATCTGGAACTTGTAAAAAAAAATCAAAGGTAGAGCATTTCTAATAGTCTGAGAAATAATGAAATTCACTCCAGTTCCTGAGATAAACTGCAGATCAATTGTGAAGATTTACCAGATTGTACCACACTCTCTTTCTCACCTTCTCTTACACACGGCACACAAGGTCGGAACTGAAGCTTCTGCTAAGCTTACAAGTCAGCAAAGCATATGAAAGCTCAGAACATTCAAATTTTCTTTTCTACTATAAAAACAAGAGACTGGTAACTTAGGTCAGAGACAGATAGACTTCTGCCACAGTCTGTCAAAAGAATTTCCTGACAGAGGCAGTTGCTTTAAATTAACTGCACTTGCATAATTTAAATTAATATAATTCTGTGTTTCTGTCCTGTTTTCACTGACAACTGTGCTCTTGTTCATCCCTCTGCTGTTTAAAACAGACCATAGATGAGTTCAAACTCCTAGGGTCAGATTTTTAAAAAGAGCATGTGTCACCTAACAGCTCAGCATGTCTCAGTATGCTGGAACCATCATCAATGTGCTTCATCACTACTAGCCATATGGTCAGTTTCTAACTTAGCATTCATGTTGTGCTCCATCTTCTGTAAAACTGCTGGAAGATCCAGTACAGAAGAAATAATATAATGAGGTACGGGGAAGGTATCTACTGGGGCGGTCATTGCTTTGTTTAACCAGACCGTTGCTTTCAAGCCAGCATTCAGGCCTCCTTGAATATCTGTATCTAGAGAGTCACCGACCATCACACACTCTGCGGGCTGCACCCCCAGGAGATCGCAACAGTAACGAAAGATGGATGGCGCCGGCTTCTCCTCTTTCTGCTCTCCCCCCACCACGATGGCATCGAAGTAGGGCTGGCAGGCACACGCCTCGATCTTCTCCCTCTGCGTCTGCCGGTCGCCGTTGGTGAGCAGCAGCAGGCGGAGGCCTTTCCGCAGCTCGGTGAGCATGGCCCGCGTGTCCTCGGCCAGCGTCAGGTGCTGCAGCCGCGTCGTCTTCCACAGGTAATAGCACTCGGCCGCCAGGTCGCGGTTCGCCTCCCCCCCGATGGTCTCCTGGATCGCCTCCTCCCAGTGCGAAATCCGCAGGTCTGTGATGCACATCTTGGCGGGATCGTGGCACTCCTTGAGGAGCTTGGCCTGGACCTTGTCGCAGACGGCGCGGGCCTCTCCCTCCCCGTAGTGGTGCTTGGACTGCAGGGCGCTTATCACCTGCAAGGGACGCGGGGCCGCGCGTCAGGGCGCTGCGGGGCCGCGCGGCGCGCTCCCGGGAGCGGCCCCCGGCCGCGTGTCAGCAGGAGAGGGAGCGGGACACGCGCGGCACCGTCGGGCCGGGCCGGGAGCAGCGGCGGCCGCGGGCCCCGCGTCGGAAGGGGGACAAGGGCAGTACCTCCTCGATGGCGCGCCGCCCGGCCGCCGCCGTGTCGATCAGCGTGTTGTCCAGATCGAAGAACACCGCCTTGACGCCGTGCAGCCCCATGGCGCCGCCTCCCGCGAGAGCCGCCCCGCTCGGATGGCGGAGGGGAGCGCCCCTAAGCGCCGGCAGAGCCGCCCGTGCCGGGCACAGCGCGGCGGGGCCGCCCGGGCCCGCCCCTCACGTCAGGCCCGCGGGGCGGGGCCCGGGCGTGAACCGCACTGCCCGCGGCGTGCTGGGCGGAGCTCGGAGCTCCCCGGTGTTATCTCAGAAAGGGAGGGTTGGAAGCGCGCAGGGCTCTGGGGAGACCCTACCCGAATCCCGACATCTCGTGGGGGCTGGGGGTGGGGCCGGGGCGGGGAAGAAAGGCCGCCGAAGAAAGGCCGCCGGCCCCAGGTGCTGCTGCGGCGAGGCCCTTGCTGTGCGGGGCGCGGAACGCGCGAGCAACAGGCCGCGGGTGGGGCGGTGGCTGAGACCGGGAGGAGGAGCGGCTCTATGGGGGCCTGGGTGTGGCGGTGCTTGTTGTGTTTGTGTGTTTCGCTGTTTGGTGATTCCCTTCGTTTTTTGGTTTTTTTTTGGAATGTTTCCTGGGAGAGGTAGCAGGACAGCTGTTTGAAAAATAACCTGTTAGGATGATGCCAGGGAGCAGCTTTGCTGTCCAAGAATTCCCCCCTCAGTGCTTCCGCCCGGGCAGGCCTGCCCGCTCCCGGCTGTTGGCGGCAGTTTGGCTGGCTGTGCCAGCCCCGGGCCCGCGGCTGCTGGGGAAGCCCGTCCCAGCCTTAGGGAACCGCACCAAACAGGTCCCTGCACGGGGTCGCAGCGGGGTGCCCAAATACGCCGAAGTTTGTAGGTTTGCACACCGAAGCATTCCTTGCATAGGGACCTACACGAAGGAGGAGGAGGACACGCATGCAAAAGATTGGGTTCAGTTCGGCTTTCCCAGCTTCCCCGTTTACCTTCTGGAGCGTGCTCCTGCATTACGTCTGGGCACAGCAGCCACAGCACGGGGATTGAATCATCCAACAGCAAGTGTTCCTAATAAAGCCAAAGTCAATAACTCCACTGAAACTCCAGTATTTGGAGAACCCGGTTCGAATGAAAGCCTGAACAGCTCCATAGAACGAGATTTTTAGGTGTATATACCAAAGGCTGTTTCAGAATTGATGATTTTCCCCAAGGTGAAGTTTAACAGGCTCTTGTTTGTTGATAATGTTTTGAGAAACACAAGGTATTTTTTAGCAGCCAGCAAGCATTTTTTCTTAATTTGATTACTGTTTAATACTGCTAATGTTATTTAGACATTTGTCATTAACTGCAATTCAAAAAGCTGGAGGAAACTTTGTCTCTTACCAAAAAAATGGAAGTTCACTCCAGGTCACTTTCAGTTCTAAAAACTGCACCTTTGATAGCAGTCTCCTTATCTGATAGAAGACACTGAGTCACGTGCAAGGCCAAAGTAATTGTGCCCAAAAGCTTGGCATATGGGCAACAAAACTACAGAAGACAAGCCTTTAAGGAGAGAGGGGTATTCTGAGAAGAAACAGAGATGGCTAAGGATCCTGTAGTTAAAGGCAACAAGAGGAGTTTTAATAAAATTACTCTAGTTGACTTAAATAAAATGTGCTTGATAAGCACAAAAATAGTTTTGCTTCATAAGACAGAAAAGGTGTTAGGCATGTGAATATCATGGGCCTCTACTGAATTGCATTTTTTCAGAATTTACACAGAAGAGTGATTAAAAATAGCTGAATTTCTAGGATTCATTGTACTTAGGAAGATGGCATTTGTTTCAGAGAGCCCTGCATTGTACTCAGTGAGCAGTGGATCCTATATGTGCTTTTGGAAAAAGGTACATTTACATAAAATTAATGGTTGTGCTTTCTTTGAGGTCATAGTTGGAAAATAAATGTCTTATAAGATTTTATAAGGTATATATTTTTACTAGAAGCTTTCCGTTACAGAATTGAAGCAGTTAAATCATGAATTAGAATTACATTTTAAACTTCTTTTTTTTCATTTTTCTCACTAACTGACTGCGTGGAAAGTGTTTGTTTGCTTTAGAGTATGACTGTAATTGTAAAATGTGCTTTTGTGTACACGTGGAAAATTCTCTGCAAGATTGTTGAACTTCAGTCAGCTGTTAAGCTTACTTAGGACAGCTTTATCTATCAGCAAGTTTCTTTACTTTCTCCTTGTTCTTTCTATAGGCTCACTAGAGGCTGGAAATGCCTCGCAGAAGCTGAGAACCAGGAAAAGAACAGTCATTGGAAACCTGAGTAGGAAATATAAGATATACTGCACAGTCTTGAAGTGATAATGTAAGAATGCTAATTTGGTATCTTTAAACGAGGAATTGCTCTGGGTATCTTTTAAAAAGGAAGAACATCATAAACACTTTCAAAGAAAACTTGTTGTCCATACATAAATAACAATTGCGAATTATTCGACTCAGATCATTGTTTGTCTTTTTTTTTTTTTTTTTTTTTTGTTACCAGATACCTTCATAATATCTGAGCTGAATTCATTGGAGTTTTTTTTTTTTTTTTTTTTGTTACAAGATGATTGTGTTTAGGAGTTCAGCATTTGGAACTCTCTGATGGTTTTTTCCTGCATCCCCACTGGTGTCTCAATGGGTTCCTTTTTGGTTGTGTTAGCACTATGAGAGAGCAGGTGAGAGCTTCCTGGGTGCCCAAGCTGTTTCTTCATACTGAGGAAGACCTAAGGCTTACTGCTGTTTTCTTTTTACACGGCTGTCTGGTTTCTGCTGGAGAGAGACCTTGCAGGGAGTGGGAATCAAATCTGGGTGATCAGGAGTAGGTGACCAGTGTGTACAGTGGAAGTCATCTGCTCCATCCTTTACATCTAGCCCCTGAAAACTGATCTTGGAGATTTTTCTTTCCCACTTCCACGGAATATATTATTAATTTGGTAGCTGATTTTTTTTTCTTTATCCTAGTAAGAGATTCATTATGAAGTGTGTTCATGTTCAGTGATACCCATAATATATTTCAAGCTCAGTGTGTTGAGAAATACTTCTCACCCAAGTATCTTGGCCTGCAATCCGCAGATTAAAATGCAGATCGGGCTCCTGGTTGATCTTGAGACAAGAGGCCATGAATTCCCAGCCTTTGGGATGACAAAGGACATGAAGACAGGTGACCGCAGCCAGGTGAATGGACAACGGGGAATAACAGCAGGAGCCGGTGACTGCTGACCTTTTGGATAAGGTGACGGCAGCGCGATGGATGAACACGGAGCGGGGAGGTAGGAAGAGAAGGAAGAGTGGGGGAAAGTATAAGGGTATAAAACCCCGGGGATTCTTGGGCTTGATGGGGTTAGGATGTATTTGGGCGCGCACTGCTCTCCGCTGGCCATGTTGCTGAGCTCTAGCGTGTGGTTACTCTAACAAAAAAGGCGCCAGCGAGTCAGGGGCGAGGCTGAGGGTCCGGTCTTTGCGAAGCCGCTCGCTCGCCTTGGAGCCCTCGTTCCCCGCAAGCTCAGGGGCGCTGGGCAGGGCGGAGGCGCCGCTCCGTGCCGGGCAGAACACGGCTCCCCGCGGCCTCGGGCCGGGCCCGCCCCGCTCCGCTCCCTGCGGGACTCTCCCGCCCTCGCCGCCTTTTCGTTTTCGTTCTCGCGCGGGGCGGGCGGTGAGCGGGAAACGAAACTGGGCGGAGTCTGCGCAGAGCAGCGGGCAGAGCCGGGCGGGCTGATGGAGGGTCCGCGGCTTTCGGAGTGTGGGCAGCAGCTCGGAGGTACCGGCGGGACGGGGGCGCGGGTGGAAGGGCAGGGGTCCGTGCGAGATGGGGTGTCCGCAGCCCGGCTGCAGCGGCCCGGCCCGCCGCGCTCGGGGACGATAGCTTGGGGGTCATCTTTCGTCCGTGTGGCTACGCCTGGCGTCATCGCTGCTCCAAGCGATATGTTCAAGTGCCGTCGGGCTCTCTTCTGAAGGAACCGATTCTAGTTCCGGAGAAACGTTACTCCCACCGAATTCACTGAATGATTCAATCTTTTTCTGTCAAGAAATCTGCTAAGAAATCTTCTCTAATCACTAAATTCTCCACTCTGCTTTCTAAAACTATAATTCCAAGCAATGACTTGCAAAACTTTTGCAGACCAATAATTTCAATTAGTTTCCCATGAACTTTGTTATTGGCACCAATTTTTTATTTTGTATCATAACAGTGACCTATCTACCAGGATTAGGGGCTGCCTTTATTCTATGTCTAGAGCAACAGACACATCTTTGAATGTTACTTTGCAGCATCTCTTGAAGATTGTGCCGAAATGGATTGTGATTATATGGGGAAGATCAACCGTTACTGTCAAATACATAAATTTAGAGCGGATTATAAACTCATCAGTAGGACGGGCCCAGATCACGATCCTGAGTAAGTTCACTCTGCATGTCAATAACCGGCAGGGCTCTTCCTGCAGTGAACAAACTATGTAAAGCTTGAAGTCACAAATGTTAATTTGCTGAAAGCACATATTATATTAGTGGGAAAGCTGGTTGAAATCAAGAATTGAATGGTAGGTGCATGGGGAAGCCATCATGTGATACAGTATGAGGAGAAAACATTTCAAGGGTGATGGCTCTTTTTCAGAAAGTACCAGCAAGGCACCTGTTACTTACTAGTAACTCTATTGTATATTATGTATCTCCTCTCAGATGGTGGATTGGGTTACAGCAAGAATTTCAGCTTTTGATTTAAATACTACAAAGCATTGTTGATTTCTAACCAGAAAGGTTGGGTGTATTAACTGATTGTGTACTAACATATTTAAAGTGCAGTATATTTTTTCAACATCTCTTACAAGAAAAGGGTCTTTTGCTTAAAAAGTTTTGCTTTATCTTTTGGAGACAATTACAGGTGATGGAATATATTTTATTTTTTAGCATTGATATATTGTATTTTTTCCCTTGCAAAGGTTGTAGGTACTCAAGATCTGTAATAATTCCTTGTGTGATTTAAAAAAAATGTTTTGCTAGTTTTGCATGGAGACAAGCCTTATGCTAATAATTAATACGTTTATTTTGATGTGTTGCATGTTGCCAGATAGCACTGGCTATGCAGATTTAGTCTTAAATCCGTCTACCATACCAGAATAAATTAATAGATATTATTAGGATCTCAAATGTTTATCAGTTATCTTAATTTTTTCCCCATGTGGCTCATGTAATTAAAAAAAAATGACCCTTATTTCAGTAAAGACCACAGCTGTGATCACACAGCAATATCCTCATTCTTCAAAAGTGATGGCATGGGACTGACAGAACTTACATATATTCCAGATTATTTATCCCATTTATTTTGGTTTTTCGTTGTTTCTCCTGTGTGTTCTTTTACATTCACAAATGAAATTCAGCCCACTGTGTGACAGTGGTATCTAGGAAAATCCTGGGTAACTTGGGCTGTTCTAAGGATACAGTGTAAAGTGTCTGGCTGTGGTGATGTGTGCTGTAAGCCTCCTTCAGTCCCCTTGTGCTGCTCTTTCCCTATGTTCTGCCTGCTAACTGGAGGCATTGACTGCTGCTGGTTGTGTGCTGGCTCCCTAACTCTTCTGTGCTATGTCCCTTCTCATAAATCACCTTGCAGTTGTCTGAGGCATGATGCAGAGATCCTATCCTATCATGGTTGTGGTGCTGTGGCTGCTTTCAGTACTGTGTCTGACAGGGTCAGTGCTGAACACCATATAAGAAGGTTAAAGGAGCCCAGGATAGCTCAGTCCTGAGCTTTCTTGGTCTGGGAAGACAAGAGTGGACAGTTAGGCCAGTCCTGCCTAAACCTGCCAAGTCTGAGACAGTTACTTATTAACTTGGGGTTCATGGTGAATAAATACGACTCTGCATTTATGACCAACTCATGTAATGCTCCTGTAGGTAATCCTCAACTTGTTCGTGGAGATCCCCTGCAGATTTCCTCAGGATTCTTAAATAAAATGGTGCATTTTAGATGCAGTGTAATAGCTGAATATGTGTAGTATTCAGTGCTTAGTTGTGGGTTGACTACCAAAATACTTCCCCAAGAAAAACCTTTCTTACATGTTTTGTTGTTTTCTTTGTTGTTTCCTATGCGTATAGTATATGGCACACTATGGATATGCCTTTTCCTACTGTTTGCCACCTTGAGGTTTCTTGCTAAGCCTTGCTTACACAATGAGAACAAGCGCTGTTCTGCATCTTCATTGTTTCCCACCCAAACATTTCATTAAAGGGAAGTGGAGAATGAGGTTGAAATAATGAAAAAAGTGAGTTCCTAAAGTCACAACACTATATTGGAGACCAATTTTTGCACAGAGGAGCTCACGGTGCTGTACCTTGGCTGTGTGAATCCATCTTGTTGGCTTTGAGCATTTACGTGCTCTGCTGCAGTCTGAAGCACAGAGGTGCCCTGAGGCTCTAACGGTCACTTTAACTTGGTGCAAGTGTGTGCTGCTGCCAAAGGCAGAAATCCAGTTGTTGTTTTCTCCTCTGTCCACTTTCATGCAGAGGCAGTATCAGAAACATTAGGGGATTTGCAGCTGCAGGACAAGTCGGATCTGTAAGGGCTGATTGGTCTGAAATCCAACCATTTGTTATTAGAGCATGGCAGTGGGTTGACCCCAGGAGGCAGTGAAACCTCCAGCCAGCTCCTCACTTCCCCCCAGTGGGACATGGAGAGAATCAGAAAGGTGAAAGGGAGAAAAACTTGTAGATTGAGATAAAGACAGTTTGATAGACAAAGCATAGCAGGATGCGTAACCAAAACAAAATAAGGAAGTTGCTTACTCCTTCCCATCAGCAAGCAGATGTTTCCAAGAAAGTGGCACTTCATTATGGCCAGTGCTTATTTGGGAAGGTAATATATATATATATAATATCCACTATAATCCTGGATATCCCCTCTTCCTTCTTCATCTCCCAGCTTTTATTGCTGAGCGTGATGCCATATGGCATGGAGTATCCCTGTAGCCACGTGCCTTGGTTGTGTCTTTTCCCAGATTCTCACATATCTCTCCCCTGCTTGCTGGAAGGACATAGTGGGGAAAAAGAAAACTTTGGTGCTATGCAAACACTATGCAGGAGTAGGTAAAACATCAACCCTGTGTTAGTCCCAAAGGCACAACATAGCACCATTCTGGCTGCTCTGAAGAAAGTTGACCTCATCCCAGCCAGACCCAGTACTGTCAGTCCTGAGCTGCATCAGTTTCCCATTCTGACTCGTGGAGTTGCCGTATGGGAAGCAGAACATGCACAATTGTGGAATGGAGGGACAGAGAGGAAAGGGTGTTGTGGCGGGCCCTGGGGTGGTGGTGGGTGCCGTGACCTTCTGAAGAAGCGTCCTGGTGAGGACATCCTCCGGGCACAGGCACATCCTCCTTGCTCACTCCTGGGCGGAGAGTGATTTCAGCTCTTTTGGGAGCTCTCCGCTTCGCCGAAGCAGAGAGGAAGAGCCAGGAGCGTGATCCAACCCAAAGCTTTATTCCGCTCTCCTTGAAGCGGTCGGAGGGAGCAGGGTTGATACAGGAAAGCCAGGGGGCGGGGTAGAGCATTAATCCAATCATTTGAAGGCTCAGGGGCGGTACAAAGGGGGAAGGGCCAATGGGGTACAGGCAATTTACATGAAACAGGGAGGCATGCTGGGTTACTTTTTGTAACCATAACAGAGAGTGCCGAAGGGCACAACCTCCAGAGGAGAGAGACAACAGGCTGTCCTGCTGTGAGGCTTTCAGCCTCCACAGGAGGAATCGGCAGCTGAGCACAGAAAGGCAGGACTGGGGCTTGTGTTTGTTTGTTTGTGGGCAAATTTATTTTTTTTTGTTTTGGTAGGGTTTTTTTGTGACTGCCTTCAAATTCATGTCTTGCAAGCACCAGATGTGGTTTTTGTTCTTATTAAGCAGTGTACATCACAAGGTATTAAAGATGAGTGTAATGTCACATCTGGTTTCATGAAATCAAGATTAGCTATTCTTTCCCTGTGTAGTGTCACACTGCTGAGATGTGTCCTGGTGTTCAGGCTTCACAACCTTGCTTGTAACAATGCTGACCTCATCCATTTTTATACTTCTGAAAATTAAGTTATTTTGATTTTAAAAAGCAGTTTAGCAGTTAAAAATACTGTTGGAACTAATAAAGTTTCTGACTAAAGAGGAAAATGTAAAAAATATTTATACTAAAGTATTATGATAATTATGTTTGATAGAATAAAAACACATTAATGCTTCAATACTTCCCAGTTAGCCTATAGTGCTTTGTAGATAATAAACCCGAAGCTTAATTGATAAGGTTATTAAAGTATATATGTGGGGAAAATGTAGCAATGTTTTAGACAAGTTTCCTTCGTTGCAGGTTCAAAGTTGTGGTCAAAATAAATGGTGAGGACTATGCTACAGGTACTGGTAAAAGTAAAAAAGAAGCAAAAGCATTAGCAGCAAAAGAAACGTGGAAAATGATTGAGAAACAGGTGAGTAAATAGTAGGATTAAGTTTTGCGGGTTACTAAGCAGTGTACATCACCCATAATGTAGTAAATGTTGAAGATGAATATCTAAAAGTAGACTTTCAATAAAATTTTATTTAATTTGAAACAGCTTCTAATTACTTAAATTGTCTTTGTTCTGTCTTATTCAGTACTTCTACTTTTTAGTCACTGAATTGTTTTCCTTACTGTTTTCCTGTAGGGTTGATATCTAATACTGTGTTTCCTCCTCTGCTGTTATAGGAGGATGAGGAAATGTGTTTGCCTTTGTTAAGTTGCCTTGGTGAATCTGGAGTGGACAGTGGTCCTTTTATATCTTGACAACTGTTCAGTGATTCAATGTCCTCAAAACATTTGCAGGGCGTTGCTGATTGTGTCTGTTGCCCCTCTGCTAATGAAATTGCTTACTTTCACTTGTTCTAATTAATCTTTTTTTCCTTTTCATTATATTATTTACAGTATAAACATGTTCTTTACAGCAACCACAATTACTGCATGTTTGCTGATATGTTACTGATGTTGACTAATCATGAGACAGCTGAAAAAGTCCTGCTTTCCCCTCTTGGACATGCACAGTAGCATTTGCAGTCCTTGCTAAATGGGAGCCTGCTGCCATCCCTTCTTCACAGCTCGTTCCCTCTAGTTTCCTAAAAGGAGTGGGATGAGGCATGATGAGAGGCTGTTAAAGGCAAAAGCGTAGTACTTGGAAAGCCAGATTTCCATTTATTAAAAATGTAGTAATTATGCTTGGGATGTTTGTCCTTTGCCACAAAGGACTCAGTTAATGGAAACTTGGGATTTCTTAAGAGTCTTTTGAAATGTGGACAAACCTTGCAGTTATATTAGTTCCTGTGCGCTGTTTATCTTAATGTATTTTTAAGTTTTTAAGTTACCTGTTTTGTTTGTTTTATAACAGGACAGTCCCTCAAATATGGCAGCTGCAGAGTTAGGGACAACTCAAAGAACCTCATCATTGGCATCAGACAAAGATTATGTCAGCCTATTAAATGTTTATTCACTAAAGACGTCTCACATAGTTGATTATTGTAAAAACGCTTGTACTGGAGATGCCCATGCTCCCACGTAAGATATAATTTATCTTCCTGCTTCCTTCTAATACCTTGTTGTGTTTACTAATGCTACTGTTTGTTACACTTGGTCACATTAACTGAATCTTTAGGAAGAGTCACACCATCTGCTGGAGAGCGTTATCCAAAAGCTTCTTGAACTCTGTCAGGTTTGGTGCTGTGACCACTTCCCTGGGGAGTTTCAGTGCCCAGCCACACGCTGGGAGAATAATATTTTCCTAATTTTGACCTAAACTTATCCTGACTCAGCCTCATACTATTTCTTTGAGTCCTGTCACTGGTCAGCACACAGCAGAGATCAGTGCCTGCCCCTCCTCTTCCCCTCACAAGGAAGTTGTAATTGCAGTGAGGGCTCCCCTCAGTCTCCTTTGGGCTGAACAGACCCAGTGGTCTCAGCTGCTCCTCACAGAGCTTCCCAACAAGGCTCTTCATCATCTTTGTTTCTGTCCTTTGGACACTTCCTGGTAGCTTAATGTCATTTTTATATTGTGGCACCCCAAAACTACTCACTGGTGGTGAGGCCACACCAGTGCAGAGCAGGACAATCCTCTACCCAGCTGGTGATGCTGTGCCTGATGCCCCTTAGGACAGGCAGGAAGGCTGGCCCTTCTAAGTGCCAGGGCACTGCTGGCTGATGTTCAGCTTGCCAGTGACCAGGATACACAGGTGCCTTTCTGCAGTGCTGCTTTCCAGTCTCCTGTTCCCAAGTCTAAACAACAGCTGCAGAATTTGGCACTTGCCATTGTTAAATTTCACATGGTTGATAATTGTCCGTCTCTAAATTTTAGTATGTCGGTCTCTCTGCAGGGCTTCCCTGCCCTTGAGGGAGTCAACAGCTCCTTCCAGTTTAGTCTTAAGTTGTTAGTGAAGATGTTGAAGAGCAGGGGACCGAGGATTGAGCCCTGTGGAACCCCATTAGTGACAGGTCCCCAGTGTGATGTCAGCCCATTCCCTGTAAACCTTTGTGCCTGACCCATGAGCCAGTTGCTCACCCATCATGTAAGCATGGTTATCCAGCTGTGTGCCAGATATTTTGTCCAGAAGTACACTGAGAGATGGTATCAAAAGCTTTGCTGAAGTCCAAAAGGATTACATCATCTTCTTTCCAAGATCAGCTAGGTGGGGTACCCTGTCATAGAAGGAAATCAGGACTTCCCCTTCATGAAGCTCTGCTGGCTGTGACCAGTGACTGTGCTGTCCTTCAGGTGTTTATCAGTACCTCCCCAAATAGTCTCCATGATTGTACCAGGCTCTGAAAGTTAGTTATCTTGAAGACACAACAAATTAGTTATCTACCGTTATTAATTAGATTTAAATGCATATTGAAAACGATGTCCTGAAGATGTATATTTCAGATTTCCATTCTATAATGTCAGTTGATTGTAGTGTTTAAAAATCATTAAATTAAGACTTGTCATATAAGACTTGATTCTCCTATTGTATTTTACAGGTATTCTCTTAGCTGTATAATTGATGATCAGGTGTGTGGAATGGGCACTGGACCTTCCCTAATGGCTGCAAAACAAGCTGCTGCAAAAGAAGCATATGAGAAGGTAAATAAGGAAAGCTCTCTGACACTATGTGCTATATTTAGCCTTATTACAGGAGTTTAAATCTTTGAACCAATTTCCTCATTGCATTTAAAAGCATATTCCATGGATTCCATTAAAGAGGGAAACAATCCATCTTTTAGTATGTTGGTTGGGCTACTGTTAGTAGAATTTATGTTGAGTTTCTGTATTCAGTTCTGGATTTTAAAAAAAGAAACCAAAACACTAACAGTTGATACCTCTCTGTGTCTCAGAATAGGTCTGATATGTTGTCGTTCAAGGATGTACACATATTAAAAATTTCTAAATTCTGACTTGTATACTAGTTGTCTACTGTGTGAAGCATTGTTGAGCTGGCAGGTTACGAACATACTTCTTTTACTGTCTTCTGTTAGATCGAAAATCTACTGTGTAATGTGAGAGGCAAAAGCAGGAGTCAGAATCAACAGGACTTGCCTTTTGTAGTGTTCCAAGGCAGAGTCTACTAAAACAATAGATGACACCACCCTCTGGAGAGCAGAGCTGTTGTCTTCACGTTAGCAACTGTTATTTCCATCTGTGCAAAAAATTATCTGAATTCCAGTAGTGATCTAAACCCACTTCTGAAATGCACAGAACATAAGAACTAACTTAAATGGAGTGTAGTTTAAAGTAAAGGATGACAGTATGCAGGAGGGAAGAAGTCTTTTTTACTTTTAAGTGCTTTTAAAATTATTTGGCTGTTAGCGTGAATTTTCAATGCTTTTTAATGTTTTTAAGTCAACCATATAATTAATTCATGCTCTATTATAGCTCTAGGAGCCTTTCTTAATATTTTTCTATGTTGCAAACCCAGGGATCTTTTTATTTTCATCCAAGTCTGAAATTTACTGCCTCAAGCAGAACTTGTATACCACTTAGTCTAAATTTGGGGTGGGTTGTTTCCGTTTGGTTTTAATTTTTATTAATTCTCAGTGATGTCTGTTACTGGTTTTTCTTTTTCAGGTGATAATCAAAAAAGCTAATGGCACTTGTACATCTGACTCAGAGTAAGTTGGGTTCACTGCTAGTGTGATAATATATTTACTAATCTTAGAGGATAATGTGCTCTAATTCAAAATAAAAGATATAATTTTATTGTTTTATTGCAGTATAAAGCCTCTAATTTTAACTTCTCTTCTTTAAACTTTGGAGCAAAGTTTGTTCTACTTGTGCAATTTTATGTGAGTCTGTATGGGATAGCTTGTAATAAGTTTAGAGCTTTCTGATTTATTCATATTTTGCCACAGATAGTTCTTTCAGAAGCATTTTTACCGTGATGTAAATGGATTACCCTACCTCATTCAATAGCATTATTTCATGCCATTTTAACACTCATTTTCCTATTGTGACACTTGTGAACTCAGTTTAATTCCATTTCAGTACTTTCCTGTGCTCCATATTCTGCTTTCTTCTCTCCCTTTTTTCTTTTTTTTCCACTTTTTTTATTCTTCATGAACCTTCATTTCCACCAAAGGGAAAAATTTGCTTAGCAGAATAAACTGAAGTTTGATATGTGATTAGAAAACCAACAGTTTGACTGTAGTGCCATTACTTTTACACTCCTCTATCTTCTAGCTATCATAGTCTCCTTTTATAATAGAAATAGAGGAGAATATTACAAAGTGTTGTTATTTTAGTAGCTTTCAAGCAGGATGTTTTGTAGTTTAAATCAGTCATGATTATTAGTGCCTTTTCAGGTTTTGCTTTACAAACTGTGGGGTTTTTGTTACTTCTTCTTTTCTTGTGACAATAATTTTATTTCTTATTGTGTTACTTTCACCTAAAAATAGTCCATTATTTTTCAGTAGAAACAGAATTTGCTCTGTTGACTCAGCTGCAAAGTTGGAAGAAAATATGAAAGACATGGCGATTTGTGAAAAGCCTTCACCTCTTCAGGTATAGTATGAAAATGGTCTTCCTCATAATTGCATTTTAGACCTTGAATGTAACACTGTAAGAATGTAATATTAGTTCATTCTTTTATCCACTAATCATTGGAAAATACGTGCATTTTTCCCAAGAATATTCAGTACTGTTAGCCATGAGTAATTTCCTTCTGTATTGTGGATCAAATTTATGTAGTGTTTAACAAATGGCAGTACTCTCAAGAAAAGAGTCAAACTAACCTCATTTTTTGCAATGATAATGTTATGCATATTTTTGCAGTGATAATTTTATGCATAACATATGTGAAAAACACTGAGCTAAGATTCATTCTTATGACATTGTTTACAAAAGGTATGATCATATTTGTAGGTATTTCCTAGATACATTATCTGATATGTTTTAAAACAAATACAGTGAAAATATTCAGGATACCTCAGTTAGGTTTTTTTCTGTTTTCCATGTAGAGAAATGCACCAAGTTCTGTCTTGAAGTCCAAAAGGTATGTGTTCATTTCTAGATTGCTTTCTCCTGTAAACTATATTCCAAATAACTTTATTTTTTCTATCTCTAGTAAAGAAATGATGCTTTGGGGAGGTACATTTCTTTTTTCATCATGTATTAGAAAAATGGCTTATTATAAATTTTGCTTTTATCTTTGTTAAAGAAAATTGGCAGCTAATTTTGCTGATATAAGAAACAAAAAAGAGGAAAAAAATATGTCAGATTCAAATGAAGGTTTGCCAGACAAGGACACAAAGACTGGAGAAGAGAATGGGAGTCCACACACTGTCAATCAAACGTAAGAAGGATTTTTTTAAAAATTAATATTTGTGAGGCAATAACAGTATGTATAAATCTAGATTTGTTTTCTTATTTATGGTAGAAGGAGAGAAAATACTGCTGTAAAAAGAATTTTCAAAGAAAATTTATATTAGTTTTTTTTTTTTTCCCCTGGAAATTTCAAATCTAGCATAGAAATTGGCAAGCAGTGGTATTTAAAACATTCATGTGAAGATGTGTGGGTAATTACCTGACAAGCCTGAAAGGGTCAGTTTCCCTTGTTGTTTTAATCTCCAAGGCTGTGATTTAGACCTGTATATTTGTCAAATGATCACTGTAGAATGATATTGCAGTAGATGTATTATATCTGTCAAGATTATTTTTAAACCATTAATTGAAAATTAAGTATAATTAAGTGTGGTTTTCCTTTTTTTTTTTTTTTTTTTAAGATTTCTTGATCATTTTGAAGCAATAGAGCCTATTGATGAAGGTGGTTTTGGGACTGTTTTCAAGGCAACATCGAAGTCTGATAAGACAACCTATGCAATCAAACGAGTTGAATTCACAGAGTATGTACTGTATATTTACTTCTGCCTTAATCAAGATCTTAATACTTCATTTTCTCTCTTTGACAGTACTAGGAGCATTTAGGTGGTTTTCATAATTAATTGTTTGTCCTTTCTAGTAACTGTTTTCTTTATTTCCGAATGAAGCTGAAAGTGGTCCTGAACCTTTGTTAATTTTTGTAGGTGTTTTAAGTTCTCTTTTCCCTGAACACAGTAGTGCTCTGGTTGCTAATACTGCAAAATGTGTTTGAAGAAAACCTGATGATTATTAAAACATTGAAAGCAGCCCTGTTATTTTTGACAGGCTACATGGAAAATTTCCACATCAGTACTGCAAAATAGCTGTAATTACAGAAAATAGAAAAAAAATCCAAGTAATAAATTTTGTGGTTTGTGATTAGAAAATGTTTGTATGTGACCCACGTAGCCATTAATGTCATGCTGTGTTGCTTATCTTTAATAAATCTCAACAGAGAATTATGATCTTAATTTTTTTTTTTTTTAGCAATTTTCTGTAACCATTACCTAGTGGAGTATTTTATTAACAGTTGAAAAAATTACTTTCTTTTAGGTTATCTGTTGAAAATGTTTTAAGTTTTTATCTATTGAAAATGTTTAATTGTTGGAGATACTTGTCCCTTAAACTGTGTAAAGTGTACATTGTGTTCTTTGCAAATACATGTTATTTTCATTGGTATTGCTGTCCTGAGATCTATAGGGAAAATCTTCTGATTCTTCAAGTAATGACTGCTGCTCTGCTGATAGGTTTGCAGCTATCTGCTTTTTTTGAGTGGGGATTTAATTCCTAATACTTTTTGCACTTTTAATATCTGAGCAAATGAAAGAAAACTCACCAAATTTGTTACTTGGGTTTTGAACTTTCAACTTATATGAAGGAGAATACTATGCTTTGTTTCTAAATTAATGGAAAACTATCTGTATCCTGCCACTTGATAGCATATCTTTTATTTAACTTTGTATTACACTGTAATAGGGAAATGCTTTTTTTTTTTTTTTTTTTTTTAATTCTTTCCCCCCTCCTTATAGGAAAGTTCAGCGTGAATCAGAGGGACTTGCAGGACTTACACATGAGAACATAGTGCGGTATCATTTCAGCTGGAAAGGGTATGACTATATAAAGGACCCAGACTCAAGGTAACTACAAAATAATAGTTTGCATTCACAACCTTTTTTGCCATAGTGAACTTTATGCTCTTGATAATTGGTTATCAGACATTATACAAATATAAATGCACACATGTGCAATTGTACTGCTAGGAGAAAAGGCACAGTACATTCCAGCAGCAGGTTGTATGTCATTAAGTATATTTATGTCTTCTTTTCCTTGATTAACAAGATATATCATATAATTTAATATTTCTCTCCTGTCTCAGCATATGGAACTTAATGAATTTATAGAGGAGAGTAAGACTGCAGAACTCAAAATTTGGGGCAAGAATTAACAACAGAAACTAAAAAATTGTCCGACAGTTGGTTACCAAATTCCTGATCAGAAGCTTCCTTTTTACAATAAGTACTGGTCAGCCATTAGCTATCATAGATTTAATTATTTCCCTAAGTTAGTATTTTAACCATGATGCCTGAAACAGTTTTGATTGTTTAGAAAAGGAATACAAAATGAAATGCTCTTTAATTTAGAGGTAGCCTTTTGACACTGAGACTTCTGGTAAAACAATGCTGAGAGTTTTACTTGTAAGTGAGCCTATTAACTTTTCCAAGCTTCTGTGGTAAGCTTTTTCACTAACTGTGAATTCATACTCTTCAGATAGGCTGCCATACTTACTTGGAGCCTAAAACATTAATGGATTCAAAATTATGGTTGGCATGATACCCCTCCATTACTGTGCTCATTAAATGAGGAGTAAAAGGGGGGGAAAAAAGTCTGTCAAAACCAAACCATTAATATATTGGAGCCTCAGTATCATGTATGTATTTTATATTAAACAGTTACTGGGTGAAAGAAAAAAAGTCCTCAAAGCTGAGGTCTCAGATGGGAATTCATGCCCTGACCTCAAGGCTACAGAGAGTCCTGAGCCATTTAATGCTTGCTCTTCCAGTGCCATCGTACAGCTTTATTCATCACAGTGTACATAGGAAAAAACAATGCATGCTTCTCCTTGTATTTTCCTTCCCCTTGCCATTTCTAGCCTCAGCCTATGCTATGGGCTTCTCTGGAATGTGTGAATCTGCCAGATGGATGAATATATTTTTTCTAGATTTCCAGCTCTCAGAAGGGTTTCTGTGGCTAACAGGTCAGTGTCAAGAACGGTCACTGCACTACGTTCTTGACAGGACAGAGTTGGAAAGAACATGACCATTCTGGGCAGGATAGGAAGGCTGATGTCTCTTGAGCAGAATAGAGAACATATGTCAGGGACTTGCAGTAGTTCCTACAAGGCCAGATGGGAACCAAAGACAATGGTATTTCTTCCTGGATAAGACATGCCTCTAGGTATGAGGGAAATGGAACTTGGGCTCTTAGAAAATTTCCAGCGTGAAACCAGAAAGCAAGCAAAACTTCAGAAATATTCCAGGAGTATGTAGCAACTGAGCAGGGATTCTTTGGGTTCCAGTTCTATTTATTTAATACAAATTGCTCTAGGATATTTCTTAGAATTAGGGGACTTGCAGATTTTGTTTTGGGTAACTCCAAAAATAATTATTAGCAAAAAGGGCTTTTGGAGATGACTTTGGAGGAACTGTATCTTGCCAATTTTAATATGGTATGTAATTTTCTTTTGAAGCCTGAATCCAGACAGAGAAACTCTCTGTCTTTTCATCCAACTGGAATTCTGTGAAAAAGGGACATTGGAAAAGTGGATTGCACAAAATAGAGAAAAACAACAGTATCATGCAATGGCACAAAACATATTCTTGCAAATAGTGAAAGGAGTGCAATATATTCATTCTAAAGACTTAATTCATCGAGACCTCAAGGTATGTAGGATAGAAAAATAAAGGACAAAAGCAAAAAGAAAAAGTTAAAGGTAGTGTACTTACTGGAATTTCAGAGAATGTTGAATTGTTATAGTCTTTGCTTACTCTGTTATGTACCCTAGCAGTGTGCTCCTTGGATATTGCTAGTGATTGATTTTCTTTCAGCAGCTGACTGAGCCTCATCCTAAAATCAGAAGGTAAACTTGGAGGATCTCAGAATGCAATAATTCAAAGAATCAGTAGTCATCAGCTAACAGGCATTTTCAGTGTGTTACTGGGTCACAAGACTTCCTATTGGAAAAAGAAAAGTTGAGTCTAGCGAGCTTGCTCTTGCCATATTACAAAAAGATAGTTTATCTATCCTAATACATGCTGTGTTTGATAATGTGCTCTAGTTACTTTTGTGTATGCGTACAAATGTTTGAATGTTACAGTTTTGGATAGAATTTCAGTCTCTAGATGTGCAGAGTCATAAGAAGATTTTATTTCAATATAAAGATTATAAGGGACAAATCCTTCATGGCTTCAGGATGGAAGCTGTAATGTTGCTGACAGTTTTAAATCACTCACTTCTTGAAAAAAAATCATTCGTGTGGTGTCATTCCTAGGGTTAAGCTAACTTCCCTACCTGACCACTCAGCAGCCACTCTGGCAACCAAATTCCCACCACTAGAGACCTTGACAGCTGGGAATGAAGTCTCTTCACAGCAGGCAGCTCCAGTGAACCCACAAGTGCCTCACTTGACCCCCTACATAACCTGGCTGTATGTGATGCTTGACATGGGGTTCAAACTCTTGACCCTGAGATTAGGAGTCTCATGCTCTACTAGCTGAGCTAGGAATATGGCTGTGGTGGATCAGGAGTGGTATTCTCCAATTTAATGCTCCTACTGAATCCACACACTGCTTGCTCACCCACCCCCGTGCCCCCCCCCCCCCCCCCCCCCCACCCCGTGGCAACACGGATCACCAGGGCT